GGAGGAGGGAGGGGAGGGGGAGGGGGAGGGAGGCGCAGGGGGAGGAGGGGGAACACCTCTGCAGCTAACACAGGGTACTTCCGAAGTGCCCAGCCCCATTCTAGACCCTGCCCACAAGTTCATCCTCCTTAAGGCGCTAGTACTGCCCCACTCTACAGATGAGGAAGCTGGAGCACCAAACACTGAGTCACACAGAACACACAGTGAGGTTAGAGATGAGCTGCAGGAAATTCAGTGCCGGGGCCTCCAGGGTCTCTATCATCCCAGTGCCCCGCCCGTCGGAGAATACAGCTCCCCTCCAGCACCAAGGCAGCCCAAAGTAGAGGAAAACAGTGCATTTTCCAGTCAGAACACGTAAGGTCACTATAAATTCCTCTAGTTCGGGCCGGCCCACCTGATCCACCGGCTGAGACGGTGCCCGCACAACCGCCTGCCACCCGCCTGTCATGCCTGCTCTGCCTGTCACCGCCCCGCGCCTCTGCTGGACGTTAGGGAAAGGCCGAGGGCCCAGGGGACACCCCCGTGGGACAGCATGGCCCATGCCCGTGTCACCGCCCCTCAGCAGAGAGTCCGGACCGGACCCCACAAGAGAAACAAGGAAACAGAACGCCAGGGAGGAGAGGCGAGACACTCAGAGACTTGAGACTCGTGTTCTGGAAACGTCACTCTGGTCGTGGTGAGGGGGAGATGGAGGGGACAGGAGAGGGGCCAGGAGGCCCGAAGGGCGAGGCAGCCAGGGCGGGGCGGCACAGCTGGCAGGGGGTGACAGTCACCCACAAGAAACGGGGGAAGTCGTTTGGGTGGGGGAGGGGTGGCGCCAGGAAGTGAAGACCGGTCTGTTCTAGAAATGCTGGGGTTACCGCGAGATACCAAGAGGCGGAAAAGAGATGGGGACCAGTGACTGGAGCTCTGGAATGGCCCGGAGGGGGGGGTGGCGGGGGTGACCGAGTGAGGACAGGGTCCAGGGTGGCAGGAGAGGCCAGCATTTCAGGGACAAGTAGGACCCACGGCACGCTGGGACGAGCCCCGGCCTGGGAGCCAGAGCCTCGGGTTCTGGCCACGGCTCTGCCGGTGACCCTGGGGGGCTGATCAAGTGGCCTGTCTTCTCGAAGGCAGGGACGGGGGCTAAGTGCCTGGAGGTCCCCTCGGAGTTCCGGGGAGCAGCCCCTCGCAGGAGCACTTGATCACTCGTCCTACTTGTAATCCGCTAAGGGTCAGTATCTAGAAGCACTGCTGGTGTCCTTTCAAGGTAGGGGCTCGGGCACATTTCTTCTGTACCCACAAAAGCGTGGCGGTGGTCTTAGGGTAACTGCTCAATAAGAAATGCAGCTGAAGAAAACCCTCATCCTATTTACTCAGATTGATTTAACTGGCTTTGCTCACTTTGCAGTGGAAGCTTTTCATTATAACCATCCCCCTCCCATACATCTGCATATGTTATAAGACTAATTTACACCAGTGGAGGCTCCGTTTAAAAATGGAAATGCATCGAACACAAACATATGGAGAGGCTCTCTCTCCCAGTACCTGCTGGTATCCAGGACGCGCCACAACTGAGCTGCTGGTTTTCTCCGTGTTCAGAGACTCCGGGACAGACAGGTCCTCTTTTTAGTGACAACCATAAACTGCTGGGATTAGAGGAGTAATGATGTGGTTTGATGCTGGGTCAAAAGTTGCAGAGAATTCAAAGCCTGTGATCTGATCCGTAAGTCTGCTATTATTTCCCAGGATGCAGACCCATCTCTGCTTTGCTTCTCCTGCCCTCACGGGGATGCTGATACTATGAATACGTAATGACTCACCCACACATAGAAGATGCTGCAGACTAATGCAGACCAGGGAAGGCTCGCTGGTTCTCACTGAAAACTGAATTCTGTCAGGAAATGTAACCCAAGAACTAGGATCCTCTACCGACCACACTGAGAGGACGCCGCTGCCCGCCCTGCTCGACTTTACAGCCTTGGCTGCTACATCCACATGCAGCCTCCAGAAAGACCCAGAGAGCCTTGACTAGCACTGAGACCCTCTCTTCCTTGTTAGATGGCATTTGGGCCAGATACTGCAAACGCTAATTCCCCCTACTCACTAACTTACCCAGCTGGTAGTTATTATTATTAGATATTTGAATTTGATTAGTTTTCAGTCCAAGAGCCCAAGGCGTGCATTATTCTTACAGACGCATACAACAGAAAC